AGAGAAGGGCTTAAGGACACTCTGACATCAGAGTTTACTTAAAATGAATACAGCCAGATAATTTCAAGAGCCAAGGAATGTCTTCCCTCTCTGCTTTACTAAAGAAGTTGACAAAGGCAAATACTGTATCTATTTTACCTACATGAAACATGAAGCACAGTAAGGGTAAGTCAGTGTAGTGGTAAAATCAGGACCAGGTTGAGGGTCTTCACTGTGTCTTTCTGCCTTTCGTTAAAAAGTGGTAATGCTTTCCAATTAAGGAGTTTTTTAAAACTTGATTACAAATTATCAGTGGCAAAAAAAATTTACAAAAGAAAAGCCAAACTTTAAATCAAACTCATCATTACTGCACCACTGACAGATATGTATGCATCGCTAATTCTGAAAAAGAAAGTTGTTTTCTTACCAGTATTACTAATACACTGTTATTTTCCCTTCAGATCTTTAACATGCTATGTCACTGAATAACTTCCTGTCTAACGGTCCAAGAATTCAGGGACTTTCCCTCTACAAAATTCACAACAGTACCTACTTCATGACATTCCTAAGTAAGGAATGTTACCTGCTCAGACTACAAACTATTCCATCTTCCAAAAATATACACCATAGTCTCAAAAATATTTGCTGAATTTTTAGACATGCCAAACTGCTGTCATTTTGCACTCTTCCAGACCTAAGATTTTCCTTAAACATTTCATAAGCCTTTAATAAAATAAAATAAACCAATTATAAATAAATATATCATTCACAGTTGTAATAGTAACCATCTGTGAAGATACCAGATGTGACTTAGGTAGTTCACGAATTTTAAAGATAAACACAAAATATCAAGAAACTTACCAAAGCTATATCCTCTTACTTTTTATTCACATAAAGCATGTGAAAAAGCAACATTTCTGCCCACATAACTATTTTATAGCACATTAAGCCTAGGAACTGTGGGTTTAAGAGATTTAAAAGAGATTTATGGTTAGGAAATAGCAACCCACTCCAGTATTCTTGCCTAGAGAATCCCATAGACAGAGGAGCCTGACAGGCTACATACAGTCCATGGGGTCGCAAGAGTTGGACACAACTTAGTGACTAAACCATGGTTAGGAAAAATTTTAGTTGTAGGTGATAGAGCTTAACAAGAGGGGTGAGCAGCATGAGTAAAAATTTGCATACAGAAAGGTTTCCACTGAGGAACACTGGCAGCTAAAGCAAGAGAGCAGAGATGTTGTCTTCTGTTATAATAATCTGCCAAAAACCTTCAGACATATTTTATCTTGCAAATGAAAATGAAAAAACAAGCATTTCTAAGTGTGTGTGTGTGTGTGTACAGATGGGAAAGAACAGTCTTTGTATTCAAAAACAAACAGTCTCTAGAATATAAGAAACAATGTTGAATGAATACCAAATACACACATTTTAGATAACCTAAACAAAGTTTTTAATTGCACTTCTAGATATACTAGACTATATAGTATACAATCTCAATGAGAATTGAAAGATCCCTGTAACACAAATCTACTTTAACAATTCAAGGATGAGTATTGTTAACATTTCCATTATTCAAGTTTTTATTTCTCTTTGCATTCAACAAATATTTACTGATAGCCTATAATGTGCCAGGCAGTATGCTTATAAGAGTACCAATTTTCATGCTGCAATATAATGATGCTATCCACTATTGAGCTAGGTGCCCAAATAACAGGTTATGTGTTCTCTCTCCATCAGTTTTGATCATCTGCCACTGAGATGAACAACTACTAACTTAGGTAGGAAATGAAATGTATTCCATGTTGGATCTGTTAATCAATTGGCACTTACACAGTAATTCAAATACTCTGGAGAGAATTTAGTAGTTCTACAATTTTTACATTCATTTTGCTCAACCCACACAACACAATGACATACCACGATAACAAGGAAAATGATGCTTAAAAAGAGGTTAAATTAATACCCTTCAGCTAGTGGAGAAATCTTCAGTAGTTAAAAAAAAAATTAAAATGGTTTTCTCCAGTCTTTGAGGCAAAGCTTGTTACATGAACATATTTCAAACTGAGACATGGCAATGGGTTCCAAATTATAACAGCAGTTCAAAAAAAAGATCAACATTCATAACATTCTACAGAGTTAAGTAAGGAATACTAAAACAGATTTATCTTGAAAACATCTGTCAAAAAGAGTGTCCGTACAGTGGTCTTTAACAATCTATTGGAACTTAATACGTAATATAAAAAACATATAAATACCCTTAAAATTCCTGAAGTGGAGGTCATATAAGAAACCTAAAGCCTATATTGTTACCTACTATAACAGGAAGTCAGTAAAGCCTACCATTAACAAGCAAAGAATAACAGAAACAAGACGTAAGAATTCCTGACCTCATGAAACTCAAAAATTATACTGGGGAAACAGTAAGCACAATACATATGGCACGATCAGTGACACAGAGGAAAGCAAACAAGTGAAAGGAGACAGGGAGCACGGTGGGCGAGTCACTCGGGGTATGGACACAGCGGGGCAGTGACAGAGCGAAGTGAGGGACAAGCTTGGGAGGCAAATGAATGAAAGGGCTTCCAAGCAAATGGAAGTCAAGTGCAATCTCTGAGACAGGGACACTTTGGGTTTGGTTTTTCAACTATTTACTTTGATAATATTAAAAATTTTTAGAGTTAGTGATTCCTTCACCTAGCCGAAGAGATTCATTCAATGGCAATGATCTTTTTCTTCTAACTAAATGAACCAATACGCAGCTTCAGTTGAAAGAGCCATCATCATGATGGAGGAATGACTGGTTTACCCTATTTTATCCAAAGTAAGAAGAGCTTTGCCGGAAGAGCAGCCAGATGCTACTTCCTGTTCTTACTACAGTCAAGCTTCTTCAAGACTTATCTGGGGTTTATTTCTTCCTAAATCAAGGTTCTGCTACAAGAAAGTCAAAGCAAAAAGGATTCAAATACAAGCAAGACTGGAAATTAGAATATGCTAATTTACAGAAAAGTTATCTTAGGAGAATTACTAAAAAATCTAGGTACAATAACTGAAAAGAAAGTGCAAAATATAAGTAGCTAACAATTACAGAAATACAGGCGAGGTATCAATTTTTTTTTAAAGAAAAGATAAGCAGTGTTCATACTCCAGAAAATTTCAAAACCCTAATAGCAGCTTAACTGTTAAGTAATAAATGCTTTGAATATTACTTTGATTGTTTATCTTCTAAAAACTAGCCTGTTAAATACTTACCCCAAGTCTCTATTACAAGATGTTAGTACATACAACTGAACTGAGCTGCTTGAAGAATAAATACATTTCAAATTTGCAGTAAGTATTACTTACCCAATTTTCCTACAAAGAAACCAATTCTTTCAAATAATAACTTTCTAAAATTAATAATTACACACAAGTATATTTAGTCAAAATAATGTGATTTAGGGCAAAGTCATGGTAGAAATCACTATGACTGAACTTGTAGTGTGTTTAGCACATCATAAACAAAATAATGTTCATCTTAACATGCGTCTATCACAAAACAAATCAAAAAGTGATTCATAACTCTCTCCATAGTTTAGTATTGGTTTAAAGAGTGAATTTCTTTCAACTATTTTATATCCAAAAGCAATCTATCCTCCTCCCAACGTGACTTTCAGCCTAAGAATTTGAGCATCATTTTTGGCAAGATCTAATGGTCTTCCATATAAAATAGATTTAACTTTTTATTTTGAAATAACTTTACACTTAATTTGTCTAAATTCTGTGGATGAGCTTTTAAAAATTTAAGTTCACTGAGGCCAGGGATCTCTAAACAGCAAGGTACACTGAAGATGTTCAATTCATATTAGTCAATATAAAGTTTTAGAAGTGTTTACCTACCAGCTAAGAGGAGCATAAACTAACTGAAATTCTATTTTAAACAGGAATTCTCTCTACCTTAAAAATAAAAAGACATAAACCTCACTAAAGCTGGACAAATTCATAAGGAGACACAGGAAGTGACAGGGATCCTTTTCAAAGTCTTTATAATACTCCAAAAGAAGTTGCAGAAACTTAGAAACAAAGAATGAAACGGGAGAGAGTACAATTAAATACCCACATAATAAGGCTGCTTTCCAAAGGGTGGTCTCCTCCAAAAACATGGGGAGAAAAATAAACCAATCCTCAGAGAGTTGATATGGACCTTGGCACAGTTTCAAGGCACTGTCTTACATCGTCTCCCTTGACCTCTCAGCAAACCTTCTGGCCTAATTTTATGAATGGGAAAAAATCAGCATCGAAAGGTTAAGCGCCTTGCCCAAGGTCAGTTCAGAAATTAGTGGTGTAGCTCTACCTAGAAGGTTGCGCTTCACCTGACACTTTCCACTAAATAGCCCTGCCTTCCCCAGCGAGGCAATAATAGAGTAGAAGAGTAGTGAATCAGACTCCTATGGGTGTCCCGCACTACCCTCACCCTGCCTAAGAAGTGGGGGCTCGCCTCTGAAAGCTGTCCCCAGCAACTCAGCCGGAGAGGAGAAAGTTGTGCAGGTCACCCATCAGCCCCGGAAAGGGACAAGCTGACAGGCGCAGCCTCCAGTGGACCAGCTCTGCATTCCCAGGAGCCCCTCCAAATCCGGCGCCAGCTAGACTCCTCCCGGAAACGTCTGAAAACCTCCCGGTGACTTTCGCCCCCTCCTGGGCGCGAGAACAAGCTGGGAATGAGCCAGAGGGCGGCCGGCCACCCGATCCAGCCATGTGTCCAGCCCGTCAAGCCCGCCTCGCCCCAGCCGGCCCCTCATGCCTCCACCGCAGCCAGAGGCCCAGCTCAGGATCAGACGCAAACCGTGGCCGGCGCCACCACTACCGCAGCAGCCAAAGGGCCCCGGCGTGGCACTCGTCGTCAGGTCCCCGCCCCACCCCTCCAGTTGGGCCCCTCAGCGACGTCGTCCGCGCCTCTGGCCAGGCCGGTATGGTTCGGCCTGCCACAGTCCGCCCGCCCGCCGCCGCCGCCGCCACCGCTACCGCCACCCCGGCGTCCTTACTTCATTGAGCTGGCGCTCCGCGGCCTCACGCAGGGCTGGGTCCATGGTGCCCCGCAGGGCCTCGATGATGGTGTTGGGGTCCATCGCAACGTGGACGCGGTCAAACCCGGGGCTCGGGTGCTACTGGGCCAGGAATAGCGCCGCTCACTGCGCACATGGACCCGCCGCGCTCCGCAGCGGCAACCGGCGCGAAAGGAAAGAGAAGCGCCAAGGCCCCGGATAGAACCTCTTCTCCTCGGCGTGGAGGCGGGAGATGCTCCGGCCACTTCCTGTCGGCGCGCCGGTGGAGCACCTTGGGAGGTGTAGTCCACTGGTGCGATGTAGTCCACTTGTGCGATCCGCAGCCCACGTGGCCCTGAGCTGTCGCTCCTACAGACAGTACTTGCTATTGAAAAAGAAAAAAATGTTCCAACTTCTCAGAAAGAAAATTAAAACAATCAATTACAAAGATGTCACACAATAAAATACCTTTGGTAACCGTAAAGTAAAGCTGATGCAATGTGTCTTGCTAGTAGTTGTGTAATTGAAGGAAGTCTTTTGAAAAGCAATTTGAGATGTTTCTAAATGCCGTTTATAATCTTTGACCCAAGTAATCCCATTTAAAACTTGATCCTAAGGAAGTAACACAAAGGGTTAAATGAGCTTTATGTGTTAAAGGTGTTTATCACATTATATACTGATAATTAAATATTAAAATTATGATTTATTTCGAGTATCCAAATTTTGGCACAGACTTTATACAGATCACCTCTACATGCAGAATAAAAGCGTAATTTTTATTAAAACCCGCCTTCTTTAAACCTTAGTTTCAGAAAGGTTAAATAACTTACTCAGGATCACTTAGTAAGAGGTTCGCTTAGGACTTCAAACCTAGGATGTTTCTGTTTTCAAAGTTTTCATTCTCTCCAATGAATCGTTGCCTCTCAAGAGAAATGTGGAACCATAGGGGAATGATTAAGCAAATAACAGGAATCCAGTCAATTAAAATTTTAACAGTCACCAAAAATTATAAGTATTGTATACTTTGTAGCAACACTAAAACATTTAAAAATAGATACAGTTTTATAACAGACAAAAACTGGTAAATAAGACTAGCGAGGGAAAGTAAGTGATTTTCTAGCATGGTGAGATTTTGAGTAATTCCCTTTCACACCTCTTATTGTTGTAATAAAGTTATGTAAGTGTATTTATTTTGAGTGAATCTTACATTACAGCCTTCAAATGCAGTTTGTTAAAAGATCACTTTTCTTTACAGAAAGGAGAAGTGAGGACACAAAAGGCTTTCCCTGGAATAACAGGTTTTGCAATATTAATCTCTTATGTGCCAGCCATTATGCCTGGAAGTGAAGTATAATTATTCCTGATTTACAAATGAAGACTCCAAGGCTTAGATCGTGAAAGATCATAAGATTTTCATAATATAACCTTTAGTTAGATCTATTATTGTATGGATACAATCTGTTTAGGAATTTTGTCTCCCCATTCCATCCTTCAAATGTAAGGGCCTTGAAAATGATGATTATGTTTTAATTCACTTTTGCACCTTCACCTATCATAGAGCTTGAATGTCTACTAAGAGTTCAACAAATACTTGTAGTTGTCAGGTCTGAGCCAGAATTGAAACTTCAATCGTTATGAATTCAAAGCCAGTCGTCTTTGCACTACTACCTAGCTATTTTATTTTTAAATTTATTTATTTATTTATTTTTGCCCAAGCTGGGTCAAAATTGCTGTGCAAGGGCTTTCTCTAATTTGGGCAAGTGGGGACCATCTCTAGTTGCTGGCAGACTCTAAGTGAAGTGAAGTCGCTCAGTCGAGTCCGACTTTTTGCGACCCCATGGACTGGGGCCTACCAGGCTTCTCCATCCATGGGATTTTCCAGGCAAGAATATTAGAATGGGTTGCCATTTCCTTCTCCAGGAGATCTTCCCGACCCAGGGATTGAACCCCGGTCTCCCGCACTGTAGGCAGATGCTTTACCGTCTGAGCCACCAGGGAAGTCCTGGCTTAGTAGTTGTGGTGCAGAGCTTAGTTGCCCCAAGGCATGCAGAATCTTCCTAGACCAGGGATCAGACTCCTGTTCCCCTGCCTTGGCAGGCAGATTCTCAACCACTGGACCATCAGGAACGTCCCTGCATAGCTATTTCAGATTCCAGCATTGATTTGCACATTCTGTTGTTGTTGTTCAGTCGCTCAGTCCTATCTGACCCTTTGCAACTTCTTTGCCAGGCTTCTGTGTACCTCACTATCTCCCGGAGTTTGCTCAAACTCCTGTCCATTGAGTCAGTGATGCCATCCAACCATCTCATCCTCTGTCACCCCCTTTTCCTCCTGCCCTCAGGAGGTGAGTTTAGTCTGAGGAATTTAGAGAAGTACAAAGCACAGGGGGTCTAGAGCTCAGAGCTGTCAATAGTTTTGAAGTAGAATGGGATTCAACAAAAATCAGGAAAAGAGAAAGGAACAATCCAGGGGTGCTCTGGTCAATTGATCTCAAACAGAAAAAAACCTGTTTGGCTGCAGGTTAGAGAGAGGAAAAAATGGGAGGAGGGGGGCTGTGGAGGGACTGACCATAATAGCTATAAGGAAATGGAAAGAGTTAATCTTCCCTTTTCAGCCCTCCATTAGAGTCTCTTGTGTGTGAACACCTTGATCATAAGTACCTAGCACCTAAGGGCATATTAAGCCCCAGACTGATCTGTCTAAGCTGACTGGATTTTGTCAAGACATACTATGGGACCTCCCTGGTGGTCCATTGGCTAAGAGGGGTTGATCCCTGGTCAGGGTTTGATTTGTGATCAGAGAACTAGATCCTACTTATGTAAAGAAGATCGAAGATCCAATGTTGCCGCAACTAAGAACTGATGCAGTCAAATAAATGAATATTTGTTTTAAGAGACATCATATATATTTGTCACTAAGTGGGATTTATTTTCACACCTTGGGAAGATTTTTACTCTAAACAATTTAAAGTGTGGAGGGGTTAAAAAAAAAAAAAGCATGGAAGCTAAGAAAAAAGCTATTGCTTATGTTGTGAGGTACAAACAAACTGTGCTGCTTTTGGTAAAATGTTTTTTTATCTCATTGGCTCTCATTTTTTGTTTCATCACATATAAAATGAAGAAATAATTCTATCCCAGGCTCTCAAAGTTATTCTGAGAAGTAAATGAGGTTGGAAAGTGCTTTGTAATTAGAAAGCTCATTACAAACACAAATTGTTATTGATATTAAGGAAAGGACTGAGGAGAAGGCAAGGAAGGAAACTGAAAGAAAGTGAAGAAAGGGGGACTTTCTGCAAAGCGTCCTTACCAGCAGTAAGTCTGCAGTTTCAGCCTTTTGGTACCTATGTGTCTTTATAAAGCTTGGTATATGCAAAGAAAGGTAAAAGACAATCTTGTCAATTTTATTTATTTTTATTTTTGATTTTTTTTTTGGCTGTGCTGGGTCTTCGTTGTGGTGTGCAGGCTCTCGAATGCACAAGGCTCAGTAGTTGTGGCTTGTGGACTTAGTCACCTTTCAGCATGTGGGATCTTAGTTCCCCTACCAGGAATAAAACCGGTGTCTCCGCATTGGCAGGCAGATTCTAAACTGCTGGACCTCTAGGGAGGTCCCTTGTCAATTTTATTATTGCATTTCTTTTAAGTCCATTTGAAACCAATCAGGGTCCTGTGCGCTTCCAGGCTTAGAGACCTTTCTGCCCTCCACTGCTTGTAGGCAAGACCTCAGCCATTATGACCTTGAGTTCCAAAGAGCAGATTAGAACAATTGCTAATCAAGGAAGGAGCAGCCAAAAATTGTCTGAGGCAAGATGAAAGGGACCAGATAAATTCATCAAGATTAGGAGAGCCTACCACTGGAGACCCTGAACACACCCTAATCTTGTCAGAGACTCCACCTTTGATTGACTGTTATAAAAACCTTCATCAGTTCTTTGGGGTTGAGATACACAGCTTTTTGAGGCAGAGGCCTGGTGTGTCTCCCTTTGCCTGGCAATGGAATAAAACTATCCTTTTCTATTTCACCCACAACCCTGTCTCCAAGATTTCATTCAGCCCTGGTATTTGTACAGAGAGGCCAAGCTTTCAGAAACACACTAACCTACACAAAATCGAACTTTATGTCCTAAACCATATAACAATTTTCTGATGCTCAACTTCATCAAGGTATAATCAATGAGTTTTCACAAAATCATACACCAGGTACCACCACCAGAATCAGCATACAGATTCTATCCATTAGCCTTCCTATTCAAGCGTGACATGCTCAGCCCCATGACACATAAACCCTCTAATGTGATTTCTATTACTATAAATTAGATTTGCCATTCCTAGTTTCATAAAAATGGAAGCATTCAGTAAGCACTTTTTATGTCTGGCTTTTTTTCCCTACTCATTGTAGTGTTTCTGAGATTATTTCTATGATGTTGAGTATATAGGTCTTCCTTCCTCATTGCTAAAGAACCATCCATTGACATCCACACAACAATCATCCTTTCATCTGTTAATGGCTCTTTGGGTCATTTCCAGTTTTCCACTATCGTAAACAAAGATAATATGTACACTTGTGTACAAATCTTCGTGCGGATATATGTTTTCATTTCTCTGTAAATAGCTAAGAACGGAAAGACTGCTTTGCATGGAAGTGCATGTGTAACTTTATAAGAAACTGCCTAGTCATTTCTGAAATTGGTTGTATAATTTACATTCCCACCAGCAATTATGGACATCTTCATCAACAGTTTGAATACTCAGTCTTTTAAGTGTATCTACTGTAGTAGATGAGTAATATGTACACAATGCTTTTCTCTGATGACTTAATAATGTTGAGCATCTCTTCATGTGCTATAATATCTATTTGTAGTATCTGTATATCTATAAAAGTATCTGTTTTGTCTGTCTTATTTCTTTTTGTCATACCATGTGGCTTTTGGGATCTTAGTTCCTCCACCAGGAACTGAACCTGGGCCATGGTCCTATCCACTGGGCTGCCAGGGAATACCCTGTTTTGCTTGTTTTTAAAATTGGGTTGTTGCCTTACTGCTATTGGATTGTAAGATACTCTGGGTACGATTCTTTTTGTCAGATTTCTGTTTTGTGAATCTTTCAGTTTGCATCTTTTCATTTTCTTAATAGGTCTTTCAAAAAGCAATTTTCTATTTTGATAGAGTCCAATGTATCTGTTTCTTTTATAATTGTGCCTTTTGTGTTCAATATAAGAAATCTTTCTTACTTCAAGAATGTAAAGATTTTCTCCTAGAATTTTTTTTTGTTGTTTTTTAATTTTATTGAAGTATAATTGATTTACAATATTGTGTTAATTTATGCATAGATAAGTGATTCAGTTATACATACATGTATATAT